AAATAAATATTTATTAATTATATTTAATTGAAAGAATCATACCTAAAGAAATAAAAGATGGCTTCATCAGTTTTTATTTCTCCTAATTCTTGTAATCTTGTCATTTTCTTCACATCTTCTTTGATATGACTAATAAATAAAATTTATTATAACAAATAATATAAGAGAAGCATTTATTTATTTAAATAACCAAAAGATCTAAATTATAAAATATGTTTTTGCTATTTATAAATGAGTTATTGCAAATTTTTATATTATCTTAAAATTCTGTATTACATTTTACAAGTTTTTTTTAATAATTATAATTACTATTACAGTGGAACCTCACTTAATGAGCATAATTTGTTCCAGAATCTTACTCATAATGCGAAACACTCATTAAGCAAAACAATTTTTTCCATATAAATTAATGTAAAATACGATAATGCGTTCCATGCCGCAAAAAATACTCAAATATTTTATGTATAACATTTATTCAAAGAAAATTATACAATATGCATCGTTAAAGAGCATAAATCATCATCATCATTTCTTCTAGCACAGAATGAACCAACCCAAAATGTGAATTTGATTTGCAGAAAATAAAAATTCAAAATTTAATTTGGAATTATGGCAGCATAACTGCCTACCTCTAGTCAAATTATTTAATTTTTAATATTTATTTATAGCCTTTACATAGTCCAAGAATTTGGCATATTGTTTGCATGTTTATTGTATAACAGGCTATGGTTGTTGATGTTTATACGTAATACGTGTGAACACAAGTTTGGAAAAATGTGTTATCACAAGTGACACTAACTTGTAAGATGCTAGCGGAACGAGTGCTAAACACAGACCATTGTAGCATGTGCACAATCCGGGACTTCCCCTCTACTCATCACTCGTTATGCAAAACATCGCTCATTAGGCAAATCATTTTTTTACAATTTGTTTTGTTCGTTATGCGAGGTGCACATTAAGCGAGATTCCACTATATTTATTAAATAATTAAAACAAGCCAGCAGGAAGAGAAGATATAATATTTTATGAAGATACAAATAATAATAAATACACAAAAGAAAATTACAGCTTAAAACAGTTACAAAATATTAATGATGCATTTTTTAGAAGAAAAAACTAGTGTTGGAATTCTAATGAGGTGATATTTATATAGTCAATTCTATTAGATTTAAATTTATTTAACATCAACCAGTAGCTTGATAAATAATGAATAATTTGAAGTTAATATCCAATTGAAGTCAATAAATACTCTTACTAACGTAAACAATTGATCAAAAGTGATGTTTATATTAGAGAAATTTTCTTCAATCTATTTAGTGCTTTTTGAGAGATCCATGTTTGAAATCTATAAAAAAAAAAACTTCTAAATTTATATAAAATTCAACATTTAATAATTTGAGAAAATGCCAAATTTCAAATAACATTTTTAAAACAGTTAAAATATTGTGTTAATCTCTTAAACAATGGCAAACATATGTAACTATTAAATGTTGCTTCACGTGAGAGTATTTAAAGATTCTTTTCTTCAATCCTTAAAAAAAAACATAATAATAAAATAAAATAAGGCCATAACAGTGACATTTCTCGTGATTTACGTCATAAGAAACGTCACTTTTCCTACCAAACGAACTTCTTAGAAATTAAACTGTAAACACGTTTGACTAAATGTAATCATTTAACGAATTTCTTACTATAAAACTATAATGATTTACGTAATTTGTGATTAAAAATGATAAAAAAGAAACTTTATAAAACAAGTTTTTATATTATAGAATCTTGGAAGAAATGTTCTCAACTCTAAATCTCTGACTAGTTCTCTTGCTCCCCACTTCTTACGAATTTCCTGTAGAGTACCGCTCGGTCCATCGACGTCTTGTCGTATTTCCAGTTTTACTTGCGAAACTAGGGCAAGGAAAACCAGGGCATTTAATCTGGACATTATTACTAAACTTTTTTACGTTAAAAATGGAGTTAAGCTACGTCATCTCATCCAGTTCGTCTGGTGTCATCAATAACAAACAATAGCCACCTGGCGTATAAAAATTTGATAAAAATTATAAAATAAATTATAGTTTTTTCGTATGATTATCGATATAAATTTCCGTCGTTGTTCGCGCCGTATTATTATTATATATTAAAAGTGTGAAGTGAGAATAAATACTAAAGACTTCCGATGGATTGGAGCGAGTTCAATCTTTTGTGGTGACCTTGTGTGTGCCCTTAACAATCTAAGCGTCCGTTATCCGTTTAATTAACGGATTATTTAAAATGATTCTTTTTATCGCCAATGTAGTCCTTTACGTAATCGAAAATTTATATAAAATACGTAATAATATCGAACGAATGGGTTAAAATTTTTTATCTGAAATTAGTTGAATCGAAACTATTTCGCCAATGAATAGGATCGTACTGATAGAGCTTGTGGATAGAGAGGTCCCATTTTCTCTTTATCGGGCCTCTTTTGCCATTTATTTTTGAAAAAATGAAATACATAGAATGTTCCTTTATTAATAAAAAAGCAGTCTTAACTATTTTATATTTTGTTAGTAAAAATAACGTTAATTTACAGGGTTTTTTTTAAATACCTGAAGCTGATTTTAAAGACACAAAATCTTTGTAGTTATGACTTAAAAGTCAAGTTCTCTCTCCCTTTTATTTAGAAGATAAACGGTAAAGAAATAATGTGAATTTATGACAAGAATACNTTGTAGAATAGGGATCTGGCTATCCTTGTAGTATATTGTCCTTGACTGGCTCCGTTTCATGGTCGAATGAGTGTTGCCAGCTAAAACACGTAAAAATAATATTAAAGTAGCCAAGACAGCCAAATATTGTAGCGCCACATCACTAGCGGACATTTGCCGACTAGGACAGTCGTTTAACTGAAGTGTCGGTTAATCGGGGGTCGGATAATCGAGGTTCTACTGTATTTTTGTTTTAGATGTATACCGTTTTGTTCACGACGCGTTTTCGGATTTATTGCCAATTATTTGTAACACAACTGGCAGGCTGCCGGATTTCAACGAACTCGGGTAAAGATTATACATATAACATATAGAAAAGATGGATGAGAGGCCGATAATGTCTCGCTTGGAACGATGGTCACGGACAGACCACTTTCTGCTGTCAATGTTACAAATGTAATTTTAATTTGTGTGAAATTTATAACAATAATGTAATCGACACGTGTTTAAACTGCAGGAATAAGAACTCTCTCCCCATATCTCCTTTGTGTATTGTAGCGATATCCAAACTACAACCACATGCAAGAAATCTGACCCGCAAACATATTTGACACATCGCTTCGCTTAAAAATGTTTTATATGGTCCATATATATAAAATATTTGTTGCCCGCCTACTTATGACTTACTGGCATACCAGTTTAATCTGTTCATGCCTGAAAATAGCTCGAAAACATAAGCATTCCTTCGACTTCACCCATTGTTAAAAGCGCATCGATTAGTTCAGCAGATTAATTGCAGCGGCTAATTCATCTTGGTTTTTATAAAATACATTACAAAATGTACTTTTATGCAACAAATACATATTTATTTATTGTGTTTTATTTTTCAAATGTCCCTAAAAATTATTTTTTAATCTGTTGTGGTTACGATATTCATAATATATTTTTAAGTATATATTTATTTGAAATGATGCTCAATTTTATTACTATTATTATTATTACTTTTATCCGATTGTTTTTCGTGATTTGATATATTTATTAAATAAATTAAAATAATGTTTTACTGAATCTTAATAGTACATAATTAAAAAATGAAAGAAAAAGGTACTTAAAGAAGACATTGATGGTATTATTTGAAAGATGATTCTAGTCATTACAAAAAAGAGAATTTTAGATGGTGCGCTTCAGATATTGTATATAAAATTCTATTACTGATATTTTTGTGTGCACATTATCTGTAAATAAAATTTTATGTATAAAGTTTAATATATTTTACTTACAGAATATCTTTCTATAACAGTTTCATATGCAGAATTAAACTGTGTTTCGTTCATTTATATGTAAAAATAAATTACGTGTAAAGAACAGTTGATTCATATTTTGTATTGAGTAAGAAAAATTACTATCTTTGTATTAAAAGTTTTACTTTGAATGTTTATAAAACCAACGTCTTTTCTTTATTTTGCATTTCTAATTTAAGACGAATTAAAATAATAACTTTGAAAAGATATGTTAAAATAAACTTTAATCGTTATTATCTTAATATAAAATGTACGTAAAGTAAAATAATAATAATAAATTAATAAATACAATTATTGAAAAAAAACCAACTGTAGGTAAATTTTCGGACGATTTTTAACGAATGCGTTCGATTTAATAAATACTTCCAATTTAAATTAGTGAAGTACTGTACTGTATTAAATTATTTAATTATTATATAGAAAGGTTTTCGTATAGAAAACAAGCAAATTCATGCTAATAGTTTGCGAATAACAATAAGAATTCGAGTAAATAATGCGCAAGGAAAAGCTGTTGCCTCACGTACAACTACAACACGAAAGAACAAAAAAAGTCGCCATCGGAAGTCCTCGATGTTTTTCTATTTTTTGATTATTGATAAACCCCATGGAGTGTGGGGTTTCAAAAATTGCCTATAGGCTTATTGTTATGTTCCCCTCCACGGTAACCTTTAGTTTTAGTTTTAATTAGAGTTTATTGATTTCTTGAAAGTCACATGTCAGCATAACGCTGATTAATAATAATACATTTGCTACAAGAATCTTCATGGTTAATAAATGCAAATGCATGAATACCCTGGAATATTTACAAGTTATTTTGTACAGTTATATACAGTGGTGGGTATTATGCATGGTACAGAAAAATGTTATTACATGGTACTATGACAATAATTAGGTTACAAATTGTTGGGTTCATTGATACCAATATTAGAAAGAGTACATTTATTTAGTACATTTGTGTATGTAGAGAATACAAAGGCATTGTTTACATTAGAGTAGGGGTATTACAGAATTTGGTTATATTTGTAGCTGTTACATGTCACATTATAGACAAAAAGGTGTTACAGTGATACCAAGATGATAAGGTTACAATTAGCAAGGTGAGTACATTGGATAGATATATATGATCGTTATATTGAGTTATATTAATTTACATATATATGTTTGAGTACAGAATTACAGTAAATATCAGCAAATGATGAGGCTGGATATGATCAGTTGATATTAAGTGTATAGTTGTCATTTTCATTCTTCCAGATGGTGTTCTCAGTTCCATGGTAGAGGAAGTTGTGGTCTCTTTCAGTGAGGTTTTTGTGATCGTTTCTCAGTTTGCGACCTGCCTCTTCCGTAATTTTATTTGTGATTTGAGTTACGTTCCAGCGTTTGTTTTCGAAGATTAGTGCACATCTAGCTTTCCATATGGTGCGTTTAGTAAGGGCTGTCATCCAATTTATCATGTATTGATTTTGGTTTGTGATGAGGAAGTTAGATTGATATTTTACACTTTCCCATGAAATTTGAGTTTTAAAAATTTTGTTAAGCCAGTTCCAAGTACGTGTTGCTATGGTGCATTCGAATAAGACGTGGAGTATGCTTTCTTTACGGTTGCATCGGGGGCATTTTGCTGTCTGAAGTCGGTGGTATTTGTGGAGGTATTCTCTAGTCATGACAATGTTGTTTATGACTCTCCACGCAAATTCTTTCCATTCAGCAGGTAGTCTGTCTAAGTTTGTCCACGTTTCTTTCCAGTTAATGGTGGTATCAGATAGGTTACTGTTGCTGGTTTGATTGAATATGTTTATGTAGATAGTGCTGGGTTTGTTGATATCTCTTATCTGTTCCTTGTTGATTAGGGTGGTGATAGCTTCTCTCCATTTTCTGAATTTTTTAGAGCTGTCCAGTAAAAAAGGCTTGTTGCCATAGTCAGAGGTGATACGTTTTACGATGGGCCCTAAGATATAGCGAGTGACGTCGTACAGTGGATGGTTCTGTTTTTTGATGGCGTTGATTATATTTGCTACTTGAAGGGAGTGTTCTAGATCTTTTATATCCCATATTTTCCATCCACCATTGCTTATGTTGTTTTTCATTATATTTCTACTGATAGGTTCAAAGTCACTTTTCCATATGTACTTAAAGATGATTTTTTCTAGGGTCTTTACTTGATTTTTGTTGAGGTCAGTTATGTAGAGGGTATACATTATTTTGGCTATTAGAATTTTATTTGCTACAATCACACGTTCGGGCAGATATAGCCAGGTGTCTTTCCATATACAAAGTGCATTATTAATTTTTTGGGTCATACTGTTGAGATTGAGTTGGCTGCTGTTATGTCCATACCATACCCCTAGAATTTTGATGTTATTGACAGTGTTGGATTTCATAATATTACAGGATATGTTTCCGTAAATGTTGATAATTTTACTTTTATTTTGGTTAATTCTCATACCTGTTAGGTTGCTGAATATGTCTATTTTTTCTATAATTTTATTAAGAGCCACTTTGTCCATAACTATGAAGTTCATGTCATCAGCATGAGCTATGTATTTTATTTTTTTAGTTGTGCCAGGGATGTATACAGGGGTTATTAGTTTCTCATCCATGATCATATTTAGTAATGATTCTATGTAGATGGTGAATAACACCATAGAACATGGGCAGCCTTGTCGTACTCCTGCCGTACAGTCAATATAGTCGGATTCTTGGTTATTTATTTTAATTTTGGTCCTGGGATTATTGTATAGTAGTTTGATTTTGTTTATCTCGTTGTTATTAAGACCATAAAGGTCAAGAAGTTTCCAGAGGATCTGCCTATTAACAGTATCGAATGCCTTTTCCACGTCTACAGAGAGGAGAGAAAGTGGTGATTTCCTTTTAATGTATATTTTATTTATCAGATTTAAGAGCATTATGTTGTCTTGGATGGTGCGACCTCTTATACCTGCACTTTGGGTACTGCCAATGATGTTATGGAAGATTGTGTCAATTCTTTTGGAGATTATAGTACTGAAGATTTTATATTCCATATTTAGCAATGTTATGGGCCTGTAA